GCACAGAACCTTGTGGTGAGTTATTCTGCTCTTTTCTAAGAACTGAGTTAAGAAACTCTGCAGCGGTTTCAGTAGATCTGTGTCTTGATATACTGCGTTTCAAGTTACAGCCCTGACGTGTCTTGTCAGCAGGGCCTGCTGAGTGCATGGGATTTTTGTACCCCTCCCTGAGAAGCTGGAAAGCTGTTAGTAGTATAAATACATGTACTGCTCTGTGATCCCGGTTGCCCACAGGGTTTTGCGTGTTGTATTTGGACTTGAGTGTTGACCACACCCTGTGAAAAAGGCTAAGGTTATTACATAGAGGCTGGTTTATGATCTGTCTAAGGTATCAGCAGTGTTAGAGTTCGATAGTGGGGCACCTTCACACATTGTCCTCAACAGTGGAGTCAGAACCACCACCGTCTTCGTTACTCATTCTTGTTTCGGCATTTTCCCCACACAGTGAGTCGTCATGCAACAGTTCCTTCTCCTCTAAGGTTTTTTGCTGTGTACCTGCAGCACTGGAGGTATTAACACAGTTCTTACACCTACAACATGACCACGCTTGTTGCCCCAAGATGTACCATTCAAGGTACTATGCAAAGGAAAAACGTTTTCGTTAATGCCTCATAAACATACATCAGTTCTGTTCCAAAACGTTTCCAACTTCAGCGTAATAATTTGCATTAAATAGTCGTGCACGTATGCTCATTGCATACGCAATTTGCATTATGCGCACATTCTACGGTGTCAGCTAGACGGATTGTAAACCGCTGCAGACATCTGACGGTAGTACATTTTGTTAGGGACAGCCATAAATGTCTCTAGTTGCGAGCGATAGAACTTTTTTCGATATTACGCCCACAGATTACTACACTCTTGAAGAAGTCGCTGGCAGTTTTAGAGACTGTAGCTCCCTTCCTTTACCTAGGTAGGTCGCTGTATAACACTTTTCCCGCGCGAACAGAGAAGCGCGAGTGCTACTGACTGTTAGCATGGAAAAGTACACAGACAGGATATAGACTTACGTACACGCTATGGAAAACAGCTTTGATGTGTCATTTCAAGTTGCCTTAAGCGTAATAATTACGTAATCGTAAACGGACTGCGTATACTGAAAATATCACAGCACACGTTCTTGAAATATTGACTTACTGTGTGTCTGGAAACGAGCAAGCACAGCACCTTGATGCTTTGCCACATACCAAAACGGCCTGATCAAAACGAAGCCAAAAGAGATCTTCTAGAAACCATGAATACAGGACAGTGTAAGCCCTGAACAGGAACACAAAAGCTTTAAGGTACCTCCTTCACACAACCGAACAGTCATGCAGTAAGACTTGAACACGAGCAACTTTGAAAAAGTGGGCCTTGTTCTCTCTCTGCCTCAACTGTGTCCCAATCATACACTTGTTTCCCATTGAATGGGTGATGTCTAGCAATCTCATGTGATTTCTGGCAGTCTTGTTCTACATGTCTGAGGTTTGCTGCTGGTTGTGCACAGGGCATCAAATGAGGGGGACCACTCATCCTCAACCCCTGTCCCACTCCACACACTCTCTTTAATAGCTTAATTATAGCTTTTGTGTTCCTGTTCAGGGCTTACACGTCCTGTGAGAGTGTACAGTTTACAAGGTTTTTAAAAAGTGCACTTTGCCAATGACCCTAACAAAGAAGAGGAATCTCTCTTTCATGTGATTATGACGATTGTGAGCTAGTGTTCCAGGTGTATCCTGGAAAACAGTGATGAACCTTGCATTCTGAAATAAATCATTACGGTAGCCTACAAAAAATGAAACGTAATCACATCCACTTCATATAAACACTGTCTGTAGTACTTGAGGGCAAGTGGCATGGGGACAAGGGACACATCAAAGTCATCTCTAAAACGGTTCAGGAGCTTGTTAAAGGTGAAATAACCTCATCTCCATGGATAAAAATTTTACCTCTTAGAAAGGGGTCTATGAGATGTAGCCCGATGTTGTGCACATCACTGGGAGAATACGGAAGCTTCTTGTGGCCACTGCTGCACAATACACATGTAGCCACACACTTGTGATCTCAAACCCCTCTTCATCATATGCTAGTGAAGGACATTCCCCAACACCTTAGGCAGAACTGCTCATGGCTAAATTACCACCATCATAACGGCCTGCAATCTCAACTCTTGATTCCAATGAAGTGCAGGTGGAACCACATGAATGAATGATTGACCCAGATAGAAACAAAACGACCTGTTGCTTTATAGTGAAGATACTCACACCACTTTTGAGTAATGTCATCGCAAGCAATGTGTTCATGATTGGACTGTACTGAACTAAACGTATGGCTACATCCCTGTTCAAAAGTCTTGACATAGCTATATCATGTGTGATATTAAGTCCCTTCACTCCCTTGGGACAATAAACCAAAAAAAACATGTATATATTCCATCATAGTGGCATGAATAACCAGTGGAGCTACGTATATTGATGAGGAACGTAGGGACCCAAAAAGGAGAGAACTTACTTGCCGATGCCACCATGTCATTTGTCAAAACACTTAGTCGTGTAACTTTTCTGGCCTTTATTTAGTTCCCAAGACAGAGTGCAGAGACCACGTGGCATTTCAAGGTAGTGTTGACCCTGAACTGGACACCGTGTCTCACCACTCCATGCCAGCTTCTTCCGCATACATATACTGATGCCTTTCTGCTCACGCTCTTCCTTGGCCGGTTGCCGTTTCAGACCACTAAATTGTAGGAAATGCCGCTTTCATTGAGGTATGTACCATAGGGTCACGAAGAACGTGGTTTTTACGTACACCTCAAAATACGGAAAACAAATCTCTCAGAACTGGACACAAGTGGAAAATGTTGGGCACGCCCAAGAAAGGATTGTAACAAATGTCCAGTAGTGCCTTTACTAACTAAAAGTGGGGCCGGGAGTCCTTTTACTAAGAATATGGGGAACGAACAATCTCTGGATTAGAAGGTGTTCCATTCACGGCTATCAAACGACGACGACACAAGATATTCTGTGAACTGCACCCCACTTGACAGTCACAGCGCTCACAGCTAAATATGGCTACTTTCGATAGCAGGAACAGTGTACATCTGAAGAAGATGTTCGTGCACATTACGTGTGCGTACTATTAATAGTAGTGGCAGGTTATTCCGCCCGTTCCCAAAAGGTGTGAAGTTAATGTACACTCTTCTTCCTCCGATTTTATCATGCACTCTTTTACTTCACATAAAGTTGTGTGTATTGTCAATAATACTAAGTTTCTCTTGAACACGTGGGAGAAAAAGTTGCTCCTTCGGCTGCTTTCAAACCTTAGAACTAACAGGGTAGTAGTACTGAGGTACTCTTTTGTGGGCGTAACAACATAGGTCTTGATATCCTTGTGCACAAACATCTCATGGGCGTCGTCAAGGGTAACTGCGCACATTGTTTGTACCGCTGATGTTACCCACTAACCCTCCCTTTGCAAAACACTCTCACTAATTCCAGAGGGGGTTTGTCAAGGTCACATGATCCATTGTGTAATTCCATCTTTCCGTGCCATTCTTTTTCAATGCCGAAAACTTTATACTTCGAGGCGATATTTTTGTCGGGCAGCCTGAAGGGATATGCTGAAACTATGAGAACTTGTTTGTCTGTGTCGAAGGAGATATCCCGCCCCCAAAGCTCCCTTTCCCCGGGTGTGCTGACAACCAGTAAACAAGAATATAGTGTGATGGTAGATGTGCATGCAGCTGTCTTTAGCCGTTGATGATGGTTTCTTACTGGAGATGAACCTGTGACAGTGTCTATGCACCAATACAAAAAAGAGCTGGAGCAAACTTATAAAAAATAGTTGCCTCTGTACGCAGGTAAGCAGAGAAAGCACACACTTGTCTTTCTACCTGTTGTTACAAAGCTTTATATCCGGAAAAATCTCCATTCTGACACAGAAAAAGCAGCACACTGGGGGTAAACACACCTAAGTGCATTCCATGCTGCATTATTTGACTGCTAAAATTGCACCGTGTCCAGCCTCCTCGACACTATTTCCGTTTTCCCGTGGCAATTGCCCCGGCAATATCTGGGCCAAAAAATCCGGGCCATTTGCCGCGGCAAGTATAACTAGCTGGGCCATGTTCAATTGTGTCAGTATTCTTGCCGTTGCCGGGCCTTTTGCCGCGGCAATCTTACTTGCCGCGGCACAATATTTGGCGCGGCAGCAGCGAGCGGAGCACACTATAATGTATAATGATGACGACTGGCACCCGCGGGGGGCCGGGGGGCGGTGGTCACAGCTAGAGATTCGGCCAGGGAGAGCCGGCGCTGGCCCGAGGCTGGAGAGAGAACTAGGTTTCTGCCTTCATGGATACGCTGGTATGGACGATTTAGACCGCGCTGTTCAAGTTAGTGGTGACATCTCGGGTTATGTCATTCGCGTGGAGGGAGCAATAAGTAATCTGGCAAGACTGAATTATCTAAATCTTTCGGATGTGCTACGGGCGATGCAAGAGATACTGCAAGCGATACAAGAACGTATTAACAGCCATCAATACCAAATTGGCTTCCCTTCCCGGATCTATAGAGGTGCGTAGGTATTGCTGTAATCTAGTGTGTCTCAATCATAATTATGTTCAGGTCAGCGTGGTCAACCTGCATTTCAAATCTCCAACGAGGAACTACAGTTTCTTCTTAGGCTTCGCTTCACGGTTCCTCAAGTTGCCAGGCTACTGGGTGTATCCACCAGTACTATTAGAAGGCGGATGTCTAGGACTGGAGTGCATATTAGACAATTTTACACACGGATATCTGACCCAGCACTTGATCGGTTGGTTAGAGCAAGGGTTAGACAGCATCCAAATGCTGGGTACAGATTAATGCATGCATACCTCTGTACCCAAGGTGTCAGGGTACAGGAGTCTCGTGTTAGGGCATCATTGGGGAGGGTGGATCCTGCAAGGGTTATGAGGCGATGGTCCCCCCATCGTTGCATACATTGTCGTCAGTATTCAGTTCCTCACCCAAATGCAGTGTGGCATATAGACGGAAATAATATGGCATTGATCAGATGGGGACTAACAGTCCATGCCGGGATCGATGGTTATAGCCGTCTGATCACTTACATACAGTGCTCAATAAACAAACGTTCATCTACTGTTCTTCGGAATTTCTCGCAGCCTGTGGCTGTTTGTGGTTGTCCGTCAAGGGTTAGGTCTGGCCATGGTGGTGAGACATTGCTCGTTTAATGCTTGCTCTCCGTGGTCTCCAACGTGGTAGTCACATCACTGGCCCATCAACTCGAAACCAGAGAATCGAGAGACTTTGGAGGGACGTGTTTGAGAATTGCCTTCATGTGTACTACAGTTTGTTTTACATTCTAGAAGATAATGGTGTTTTGGATGTCAACAATGAGATCCACTTGCATACGTTACATTACATATATGTTCCAAGAATCAACCGCAGTCTATCTTCATTTAGAGAAGCTTGGAATAATCACGGCCTCAGTTCTGAAAGACACCTTACCCCTCTTCAAATGTGGAGTGGTGGAATGCTGCTGAATCAACAGTACACTGCTGTTCAAGAAGTCTTTACCACCCCTGACTCTAACTCTACAGCATCATCATCATCGGATACAGAGCTTGACTCTACAAACACTCCTAGAGCACTAACCACAATAAACCCATTGGCCAATAGCGCTGTGATGGGTGTTGATTTGTATGCAGATGCACTACAATTACAACTACTTTCTCAGCAGTAACATGTGTATACTGCTCGTAGCCACAAATGCGCATGCTCAAATGGTGGGTTGCGGTACGTACTGCCCGGCCCCTTGCCTGGGCAATTCAATTGCCGCGGCAAATGGCAATTTGCCGAGGTCAAGAGCACTTTTGCCGCGGCAAAAGGCCCGGCAACGACAAGAATACTGACACGATTGAACATGGCCCAGCTAGTTATTCTTGCCGCGGCAAATGTCCCGGATTTTTCGGCCCAGGTTTTGCCGGGGCAATTGCCGCGGCAGTTTAATTTTGCCGCGGCAAAACGGAAATGGCTCGGCAAAATCGACGTTTGAATACTGACACGAATACCACCCCATAAATACCACCCCATATACTGAGTGCGTGTGCTCTCGCTCTTTTCTGCCAGTGTATGACTGAAGGAGACGGTATGCGAATTTTAGCCGTAGCTAGCAAGCTCTCGATTGGAATATCTTTCCCCAGGTGATGGTTGCACTCGCGGGTTTATGAGTCTTGACAGAATGGATAGATTACTGGGCAATATTGGGACCCAAAGAGTTTTTAGTAACAACTTTCAAGTAGTATATCCTGAAGTTGGCTTCACATGCAGTGGCAGTATTCGCAGCTGGGTGTTTGGAGCCCAGTGGGAAGGAGGAGAGAGCTTCTTCACAGAGCTACAGATATGGAGACCTACGGGAAATGGAGTCTACACTAAAGTTGGATACACTACAATCATTGTAAATGAGCCAGCAGCACTCTATGAGTATCCCCTCTCCCTTCCCCTGGCCTTCCAAGCTGGGGATGTTCTGGGATACTACCAGCCTGAGCCTTCTCTGAGTCAATTGAATCTGCTGTTTATAGAAGATGGAAGAGAGAATCAACTTGGATACGTGTATTTCACAACTGGTCCAGCCAATTCGCTGAATATCAGTTCAGGATTTAGGTCTATTGCGTTTCAGTTGTTTGTCAACGTAGTCACAGGTAAGTATTGTATTTTCCTTGCTCAGTGGGGTAAACCTAATCTGCATCAGATCCTCCAGGTTGTGGGCGTGGCTTCATGAGTGTTGAAAGAATGAGACTTTCCCTAAACCTGGGGTTTCACTGCCCACTATTTCCCCCAATCGACGACAGCAGAGGTTCACATGTGATGGGAACATTACCAAATGGATCATTGGAGCTGACTACGGAGGGAATGACGACTTTTATCCTGAACTTCAAATATGGAGAAAAGATGGAAATGAAACCTATGAAAAGATTAGTGGAACATTTATTGAGGCTCCAACATTAGTTAGTAGCTACTAGGATTTATGAATATGATAACTTCTCCCCGATCCCAGTAAAGTCTGGAGACATTCTTGGAATATTCTTACCTCGACATGTCTCCTCCAGACTTCGTCTCTTGTCTGAGAATACTAACAGTCCCACTCAGTATTATCAGTTCACTGATGACTTTGCCACAGTATCACCTCACAATATGTTTGACATAGGAAACCAGTTTGTGATAACATCATCCTACCATCCATTGGTGTCTGTGGAGTTTGGTAAGCATCTTGACGTTAAATATTTATCGAAATAGCTTTCACTTTTCCCCAGTGAGAAATCCTACCTCATCAGTCATGGTATGTTTGTTGAGGGTGTCCATGTATATTTATGCCCAACCCAGGTTAAAATTTGTATGGTGTCTGAGTGGTAAGGCAGGCACTGCCGATAGTTCCCTTAGGTCTTGTTCTCCGCCCTAGTGCATGGTTAGTAGCTGTAGCTAGTGCTATTCATTATTGCAGATTCTACCATCACCTATTATTATAGGCCAAAGCACTGTTGAGTCAGGTGTGTTACATATTTTCCTGCTGAAACTAAAACTAACACTCACAAAACCCACAGCACCCACACAGACAGGTACAACAGGAAGCGGTGGTGCTCCTTCTTCAATCTCAAGTCTTACACCCACGGCACCCACAGTGGCAAGTACAACAGGAAGTGGTGTTCCTTCTTCAGCCCTGACCATTGCTACACCCACAAAATCCACTGCTGCCACAGAGTCTGGTACAACAGGAAGTGAAGTGTATATTTTTGTAGGAGTGAGTGGTTTGGTTGTGGTGCTGATAGCTGCAAGTCTCATCATCATCTCTGTGACTGTGTGTCTCAGACAAAGGTCAAAGAAGAAGCTACTAATCAATACTGAAAATGTTGCCTATGGTATGGGTCTGGAATTGAAAGACAACGTTGCCTACACCTCCACAGCCACTGGGGGTGGGACTAAGGATGATGAGGGAAACTATGACTATGTCTCAAGGGATGAAGTAACTGCTACCTCCAGCGATCTCTCTATGTCAGCCAACCAGGCATATGGACTGGTGCAGAGCTAGGAATATATAGTTTTGTCCACGTTCCCGGAGAGTCAGCGCGCGCATGCGCAACCGAAAAAGTTTCGCGGACGGTACGTCATAAAACAGGCCACAGTGCAGTGCTAGTGCATTGTGTGTGCGTCGGCATGGACCAATTGTTAACCCGTGTGTTACTGTGTGCGTGTGCTTTCGCTCTTTTCTGCCAGTGTATGACTGAAGGAGACGGTATGCGATTTTTAGCCGTAGCTAGCCAGCTCTCGATTAGAATATCTTTCCCCAGGTGATGGTTGCACTCGTGGGTTTATGAGTCTTGACAGAATGGATAGATTACTGGGCAATATTGGGACCCGAAGAGTTGCTGACAACTTTCAAGTAATATTTCCTGAAGTTGGCTTCACATGCAATGGCAGTATTCAGAGCTGGGTGTTTGGAGCCGAGTGGGTAGGACAGAACAGCTTTTTCACTGAGCTACAGATATGGAGACCTACTGGGGATGGGGCCTACACTAAAGTTGGATATACTACAATCAATACTGCCAGGAGTAATTCAGAACTCTATGAGTATCCCCTCTCCCCTCCCCTGGCCTTCCAAACTGGTGATGTTCTGGGATACTACCAGCCCCAGCCTTCTCTGAGTCAATTGAGTCTGCTGCTTGCACGAGATGGAAGAGAGAGTCAAGTTGGATACGTGTATTCCACCAGTTCGCTGAATATCAATTCAGGATTTAGGTCTAGTAGATATCAGTTGTTTGTCAACGTAGTCACAGGTAAGTATTGTATTTTACTTGCTCAGTGGAGTAAACCTAATCTATTCCTTGCATCAGATCCTCCAGGTTGTGGGCGTGGCTTCATGAGTGTGGAAAGAATGAGACTTTTCCTAAACCTGACCTCTGTTTCACTGCCCACTATTTCCCCCAGTCAACGTCAGCAGATCTCACCAGAAATGAGGTTCACATGTGATGGGAACATTACCAAATGGATCATTGGAGCTGACCATGGAGGGAATGACAACTTGTATCCTGAGCTACAAATATGGAGAAAAGCTGGAGATGAAACCTATGATAAGATTAGTGGAACATTTATTGAGACTGCAACATCAGTGAACACTAGGATTTATGAATATGATAACTTCTCCCCGATCCCAGTAAAGTCTGGAGACATTCTTGGAATATTTATACCTCGACATGCCTCCTCCAGACTTCGTCTCTTGTCTGAAAATACTACCAGTCCCACTCAGTATTTTATGACCACTGATGAGTCTGCCGCAGTATCACCTTACAATGTGTTTGAAATAGGAAACCAGTTTGTGGGAACATCATCATCCTATCATCCATTGGTGTCTGTGGAGTTTGGTAAGCATGTTGACGTTGAATATTAATTTTATCGAAATAACTTTCACTTTTCCCCAGTGAGAAGTCCTACCTCATCAGTCATGGTAAGTTGATATTACAGAGAAGACATAAAGTTAGTGTATAGGGAGAGACCTTCATGGTAGGCAATCCTTACCTTATGTTACCGCCCACTCAAATGTAGGCAGATACTAGTGACTTCATTTCCTTTGCCCATTTACAAACAGTCTCCTTCCTCTCCAGATTATATCCAGCTCCTCAATGGCTTCCACGGCTGCCCTTCACCCCAGCTCTTCACTGGCCTCTATGACCTCACAGGGCCCCTTACTAGTCCCTGAACCTACCGCCGAGGCTCTTCCCATCTCTCTGCTGGCTTCTAGAACATTCCAGACACTAGCCCTTACAGCTGAGACAGTTCCCAGTTCCTCGCTGATCTCCACAGCTACCAGCCCTCTCCCCACCTCCGGAGCTCATGTACCTTCCACCGAGCAGCCCTCCTCCTCCTCGGGCCAGTCTTCAGCTGCCATTGCTGCTGGTGTGGGTGGTGGAGTAGCTGTGGCTCTAGTTCTACTGATATTGGTCCTTGTCCTTGTCATTCTGGTGGTGTTTGTCAAAAAAAGAAAGCAGAAAGGAAAGCCCCAGGCAGTGGAGCAGGGGAAGGATAGAAACAGTGGCAGTGCTATGGACAACCCAGTTTACACAGGCAAGTCAGAGTGTAGTGCACCATAGATACTATGTACCTCATTAGATGTTGGGGGGCTTTAGTCCTGAAGCTTTATGGTTCTGCTACATACCATGTGCCGTATATACTTAGGAATGAGCAACTTGATATGCATCCTAATATGGGCTGCGCATGTGTACACTACTCAACTGCAACTTTCAGTTTGTTAATCTCTAATGCATTATTATATCACATGGATACATATTATTATGCACACAGGTGTGGCTTCAGGTGCAGACCCTACTGCAGCCACTATATCACTGGAAGAACTCTATGACCTCCCTGGACGGGATGAGGGAAGAGGAGACGGTGTGTATGATGTACCTTCTGAAAGTGGCGGAGTCTATAGTAAAGTCACTAAGACTGAAGAGCCCCTCCTTCACCTGGTGAATACGCCCAATTTGATAACCCACTATATGAGACTACATAACTGATGTCAGTGTATGTTTGCTTTTATACTCTTTCCTGTGTGCCTACTATATATCACAATGTGATCAATGTAAACAAAGTAGGAAGTGGGTGCATGCAGAGACTAACTACACAATGGGTGGCAGACAATACTATACACTCTGGGTTAGCACTGACTCTCATACAAATACGCCGGAATCAGTGTGGCACCTCCAGTGTTAGTAAAAGACCGGTAGCCAGTAGGTGTTTTGAAACCAACACCCAAAGATGAAACGAGATGTCTTGAATACTTTCCTGTACATACTCTATCTCTTGTATCCGTCTGTCGTGAGTGGAGGTAAGACTTTCAGTTACCTTAACAGTGTACATAGCGGTGGCTTTAATGTAATACACTGTTAATCATTGTGTATACCAGAAACATGTGGTTGTACACGTGGGTTTACAAGTGTTGAGAGGATGGGTGCAGTTCTTGGAAACTATGGCAACGAAAACCTCATCGAGAGATTCAAAAAGCAGAGTGTTCAAGTGATTGTCCCCGGCACGAGGTTCAGCTGCAGTGGCAGAGTCCTTGCCTGGGTGTTTGGAGCCCAGTGGAGAGGAGGTCTCGAGTTATTCACAGAGCTACAGATCTGGAGACCTGCTAGTGGAGAGGCGGGATCTTACACTAAAGTCGGGGGCACAATGATCTATACAGTTCAACAGCCACAGCTCTATCGCCATCCTCTCGCTTCCCCCCTGGTCTTCCAGGCTGGGGATATACTGGGGTTCTACCAGGGAACAGAGAGTCTGACACAACTGGGGCTGTTGTTTGAGAGTACAGCCTCAGGCCCCCTGGCTTACCACACTGAGACCAACACGCCTCAGACAACGTTCAGGGTAGAGAATGGGACATTGTCATCGACTGACTACCATGTTTTGATAGGAGTTGAAACAGGCAAGTTTTGTTCAAAATCAACTTACATATTATAAGTGTCGATGGTTTACTTAGGCCCGTGTCTATATGTGGTATCTGTGTATATTTATATGCGGGCAGATATGGAGGGATGTGATAGTGGTTTCATGAGTTTGGAGAGAATGAGGATTCTGTTGGGTCTGGACCCAGTAAACAGTCCCGTGAGCCGACACCAGCGACAGCAGATTACGCCAGCCATCAACTTCACCTGCGAGGGTCTTGTCACTCGGTGGGTGGTGGGCGGAGAATGGAACAGTGACGATTTCCGATACCCGGAACTTCAGATATGGAGAAGAGTGGAGAACGGATCTAGTGTGTATCGTAAAATAAGCGGGACTTTTCTGAGAGTTGGGAGTTTGAATACGAGTGGGATCTACGAGTACGGTGACTTTTCCCGATTCCTTTTAAACCTGGAGACGTGGTGGGGATGTTTCTGCCTCGAGAGCCGCTGAGTAAACTGAGAATATTATCAGAGGACAGCAATAATCACCTGAACTACTATCTCTCTGTCGGGAATTCTGACAGAGTGTCGCCATTCGAGGAGATTGATTTGGAGGAGACTGACGATCTCAAGTCACAGCAATACCTTCCACTGGTGTCTGTCTACGTCACCAGTAGTATCAGCACCTCCCCTACACACAGCAGAACTGACAGTAGCACAAACCTGTTGTCCAGAATAGGTGAGAAGATTAATATGTGCTTCAGTTTCTCAATGTGCATGGGGTGTTATGCTATCTGTATTCCAGTATTGTCAAACTGGAATATTTGTTGATATCAATGTGCTTCACTGTCTCAATGTGCGTAGCTAAAACATGTATAAACATGTTTTCTGTATTCTAGTGGTCCCCACACCTCGACAGCCAACAACTGATGAAGGCGCTGAAGTTGATGCTAGCAATGTGAATGATGTCATACTAATGAGCAGTGTGATAGCAGCTGCTGTAGCCATGTTCGCTGCCATTGCAGTTGTACTACTGCTGGTAGCTGTGGGTCTCGTTGTGGCCTTGAGGGAAAGAAAGAGTAATATGAAAAAGAATGCGAAAAATTCAGACCAAACCATCACTGGTAAGTAGTTAAAGTTAATGGTATACCCCACATTTTTTGAGCATATAATATCTCTCCAAAGCTGGACAGAGTCTAAGACGACTGCAGAGTGAGGGAAGTGGTTGGTATGAGGTGGCTTCTTGTCCTAATGTACAGGTGCCCTCAGTACAGGGATCTTATGGAAACGATACCTCTGGAGAGTATCGAAAGTTTGACAATCCTCTTTATAATCAACAACCCAATCATGTGTACGAGTCGGTTTTGTAAAGCTGCTTTGTTAGCACATGCGCAGTAATAGCGCGCTGCTACACGTCGTTCGTATTATAGAGATCACGCGCATGCGACATGAGCCAGCCCCACCCAGTGTTGAGTCGTTCGTAGGAGTTTACACCCTGCAGTTTTCACGAAGATGATACCGCGTGTGTTTGCCGTGTTATCGTTGCCGTCTGCCTCGTGGCTCTACCTCCGACAGAAGGTAAATCTGGTTGCTTGGTTCTAGCGATTCATGGCGTGCGTCCTTTTGGCAGGCGAGAGAGGTCAGGCCGATGACTGCACAAATGGGTTCATGAGCGTCGAAAGAATGAACCAGGTGGTGGATAACTATTCCCCGGTCTCACCGTGGAACGAGCAAATTATAGCTCCGGGGGGCGCCTTCACTTGCAATGGAAGTATAAAAACACTGATGTTTGGAGCATTTTGGCGTGGCCGCGATTCTGGACCACAATTCCCCGAGTTTCAGATATGGAGACCTGTAAACGAGAACGTCTATGAACTTGTGGATTATGCAAATTATACTATACCGCAGAGCACTCTATTCTACCAGTATTCTCCTGCAGATAACACTACCCTTCACTTTCAATCAGGGGACATTTTCGGTTTTTACCAGCCCAATGATGATGATAGTCGGTTGCGGCTACTTCTCGCAGCTCGTACTCCTCAGCCTGTACAGACTGTGTATAACAGGAACAGCAATCCAAGAAGTACTTTCAATATCAGCAATGAGGACAGTCTGAGTAGGAATCTCATGGTTGCTATTGTGACAGGTTAGATCTTGTTAAAGTAACGATGTTTGTGATTATTTGCCCGTCAACAGAGCCACCAGGGTGTGCTGGGAGTGGATTCATGACTAATGAGACTCTGCGATCTCTACTGGGACTGGAGGGAGTTGGTAGATTTGTAAGTCGTGATGAACGGCAACAAATCACTCCAGACATCAATTTCACTTGCGACGGATTCATCACCAAATGGATTATTGGAGCTCTGAGAGTTAATGACTCTGACCTTATCCCAGGTCCTGAACTTCAACTTTGGAGGAACAATGGAAATGATACTTATGTGAAAATAAATGGAACATTCATTGGCTCGGAGGCCTACAATTACAGTCTGATTTACGAATACACTGATTTTTCACCAGTTCCATTCAAATCAGGCGATGTTCTTGGGATATTTGTACCACGTGCTGGAAATAGTATCCTGAGACTGAGATCTGAAGCTGATAATGGCCCTCTCAATTACTATGAAACCACTGATGCAACAGCAAGCGTGTCACCCTACAACGAAATCCAGCTATCTGACTTGTCATCTTCAATGATCTACCACCCGCTTGTGTCTCTGGAGATATGTAAGTGAAAGTACAGCTAATATACGATTGACATGAAAGATGAACCTTTCTCACCCTAGCTGTTAGTCAAAGTTCAGCACAGCCTATGGTGAGTGTGTTTATTATATATTATTATGAATATATAATATTTTATCAATCATAAGAAAATTCATATATAACTTACTTATCTATATTAATCTAATCTATATACTGCTGTCTCTCCTTCTCTCTTCACTCATCCTCTCCGTAATCTCTGGGGAAATCTGCATCGTCTTCAAAACAATAACAGAACCCTATTTTCTAGGTCTCTTCGTGCTTATTCGGGGTGCGCCTCTGTGGTCTGTCCTCTTCGCTCTGATCCTGTTTGTGGCGTTGCGGCGTTTCTCGGTGGGACCTCTCGCTTCCTGCTTTCTTCAGATGGCTAAGTGTGCTCCCCTCAGTCTACTTGGCGCTTAGTTACTCCGCTGAGTCGAAAGGATCGTCGCTAGTAATCCGTGCTGTACGCTCCGGGGAGAGGAGGGGGAGGTGTAGTGTCTACTGCTTCTCCAGCTGTAATAAAGTTGCTGCGGTACTTAGGCTCTTCTATATAGCACGTGGGTGGGGGGCCTCGGCGGATCTTTCTCCACCGACCAAGTGAATTACGTTCATGAATGCTCGTTGGGATTTGCTCGGGTATCTCCCGTTATTGCTCTCCTAGGATCTCCCTAGGGGAATCTCTTGGGGGGAAGAGAGAGGTTGTGGGGGGGGGGCTGGGAGGGAGGTGGTTGGGGGGGCAATGCAGAGCTTGGGCACGCTGTTGAGTGGGGGGGACAGAGGTGTTGCGTGCGCTCTGTGTTAAGATCACCGACCGTGGAGGAAGAAAGGGGGGAAGGCTAGGTTAGGGTTAATCCGAAAGTCGGAATTGGCAAAAAATAAAGAAAGGTAATCATGTTGTTATGTGAAAATCATAAATAGCCGGTAACACTTACCAGCACGGCCACATATTTGGATTTAGTGGAGACAACACTTTCAACACCATCAGTATCTCTCTCAATCTCTAGAGGCATTTCCACAAATGCAGCTATATCCTCAACGCTTAGCACTTATCTTTCACAGTCTCCCACCCCTTCTCCTGGTACATCTCCATCAGTAACCGAGACCTCCAAACCTCCCACATCAACGCGAGCTACTGAGCCCACACCTCCTCCAGGCACATCTTCCCCAGACTCTCGGTCCTCCAAGTCATCATCATCATCATCACAGTCCCCAAACCTCCCAGTGACCGAGACCTCCAAACCTCCCACATCCACCAAAGCAGCTACTGAGCCCACACCTCCTCCAGGCACATCTCCCCAGACTCTCGGTCCTCCAAGTCATCATCATTAGGACCAGGGATTGGAGCTGGGGTGGCTGTGGTTCTACTACTAGGCCTGCTGGTGGCCGGAGTGGCTCTGCTACTACTGTGGCTCAGGAGAAAGAGAACTGCTAAAGTGGTACTGCAGAAAGTCCCAACCACCGCCCTAAGCAACCCTGTTTATGAAGGTGAGTGGGGGAGTGAGTGTAAAAATTTCAGAGTCACAAGACTTGTTATTCATGAGTTGTCCGTGACTTGTGTTGTGCAGGGTGTGAAGGAAGAACCAATGGAATTGCTATTCATGGGACCATAACCAACTCAGCAGTGCAGAGCGAGGAGACCTATGAATCTCCATACAGCCAGTATGACTCTGTGACCAATGGCGAACCTCCTCCACCTCGCAAAGAGACGCTGGCAGAGTTTGATAACCCTCTCTACTCTGACACTGGACCAGTCACAGTCTCCGAGACCACTCCTACGAAACAGTCAGTCTATGTTGCTTTTAACTAGTATCTCCAACATTTTGTATTATTCCCTGTGGACTGTGTGAAGTTGATTGATCTAAATGTTTCCTCATTACTTGTATTCTCTGTAGACTGAGTTCAGAGAAACTGGAGGCAGCTCCCCTGGAGAAGAATGGTCTTACGTTCCAACTATTGTATGTTGCTCTACACTCGCCTCATTACATTTGGTATCGTGCTTGAATTATTGTTAGATTCAGCGGGAGGCAATGATGAAAGCCGGTGAAAATATTTATTCTACTCCTGCAAATGTGAGTTGCAGAATTGTTTAGAAAATTTTGAAAAATTCGCCGAAATACCACACAGGAGGTAACAAAATATGGAGAATCCGCAGAATATACATACGTCAAAGCAGTAAGTCACGTAACCACAGTGAAACTGCTATTGATTGTAGTTTGTCACTCTATCCATAGACGGCAAAGTGTAATAGTCAATACTTTGAAGAGTCCAATATCTACTGGACCCCAGCCACCACTGTCAGCAATCTCTATGAGCAGCTGTCTCAGTACAAGTACAGAGAGATCACCAGAGAGCACATTGAGTGAGTACAAACTTAACCCATCTGATAGTGAAAACTGACCCTGATCTCCACAGAGTGGGTGACTTGTTGGGGTCCGGGCAGTTTGGAGTGGTGAGCCGAGGGAAGTGGCTGGCCAGAGGAGGCTCTCCGGTGGAGGTGGCTATCAAGACTCTCAGGCCTGAGTCCGGAGAAGAGGACAAGCTGAAGTTCCTGCAGGAGGCAGCCATTAATGGCCAGTTCAGACACCCAACATTGTGAGGCTCCACGGAGTGGTCACAGTCGGAGAGCCGGTGAGTTGAGAGAGACTCTGTGCTCCTTTACCTCCTCACCTCTGGTCATGTGTGTGTTTGTGCAGGTGATGATTGTGTTGGAGTTCTTGCCAAATGGAGACCTCAGAGAATTCCTCCACTTCTTGAAATCCAAGTAGGAAACACACCTCATTTGTCATTTCAAGAAATTCTCCTTTCTCCTTTCTCCCTCCCTTGTAGTCCGAACCCTCCAGAGCAGAGCAAACTGAGTCAGTTGTGCCTCGGTTTCGGTCGGCAGATTGCGTCAGGCATGAGCTACCTCGCTGGGAAAGACTTTGTCCACAGAGACCTGGCAGCTCGCAACATCCTAGTCTCCGAGAACAGAGTCTGCAAGGTGTGCATTTATACTCCTAGTACCTTTAAATCGGGAACACAACCTGCAATAGAACACTGGTTGTCTAATGGTGTAACTTGATCCCTGCAAGCGAAGCTTTCATGGAGAAGGTTTCTCAGGGAACGTTCTTTACTAGAGATTCCTCATTTTTAGGATGCTTTGCACACTGAATATGTCTGGTATCTGTGTGGTAGGTGGCAGATTTCGGAATGGCAAGAGATGTGGAAGAAGGTTCGTATTACGTCTCACGTGGAGGCAAAATTCCCGTCAAATGGACTGCCCCTGAGGTAAATATGATGTAATGGAATATTTCTCCAGTTGAATCTGTTGACCTGTTAGGCCCTCCACTACAAGAAGTACTCTACAGCCAGTGACGTGTGGAGTTTTGGGTGTCTCATGTACGAAATATGGAGTCTCGGACACAAGCCTTTTGAAGGCTACACCAACTCTCAAGTAAGACTCTCTCTACAGGCAAAGTCAACCTTTGGAGGTGTGGTATAATATGATTATAGGTCATGAACTTGGTGACTGAGGGGTACAGGCTGGCCCCGCCTCCTGGGTGTCCTCGAGCCATCTACTCTCTAATGATAAACTGCTGGTATATATGTGTACAGCTTATCGTCCCTTATTTCTCTTTAATGTGGCCTGTGCTATTTATGAGTTGTGTGTGCTCGCGCATGTATAGCAGTCCCACACTAGTAAACCTGTTTGTTCCAAGAAGTATATATTCCCTTTTAACCCAAGTGTTTTTTCTGATGTGATTGTCAATGTCTCAGGAACCCAGAGAAGTCGTTGCGGCCGTCATTTGAGTCCCTCAGGCAGACCCTGAGCGGGGAGGCGTCCCTGCTGCTCCAGTGGAGAGAGGAGGACAGTGCTGGCCAGTCTGAGGCAGCCAGACTCCTCACTGCTCCTCTGGAGGCCGGCAAAGACTTGCACTCCGACCTCCAGGAGACCTACCTCAAGAAACATTGACTCACCTTTTCTTTGTCACCGTCACAGTCCAGATTTAATGAGCATATCCATAATAATATACTTTACTGTCAAAGTCTAATGTAATGTATAAGCACTGGCACGGATGACTGTGATACACTCATGAATATCAATGTGGTGATGTACAAAAGAAGTTGTCACGTTCCAATGAGTTGATCTATGAGACTACACAGTTCCAAGTCCTGGGAATGGACCAGAGACGAAGCTCCGCCTCCTCCACTGCCGGTCCTGATTCCAGACGACCCTCCTGGAACCTGGACAGAACACACACAAAGTCACGAGAAAGACACACACCATTTTGATACGACGAGGGGCTGAGAGGTAAAGTGGTTTATTCCACAAATAAGTAAAAGGTGGCGTAATTTTGACCCACCAGCTAAGGCAAAACTGACCGTATTAGAGGGAGATGTGTCCATGGAGTCATCCTGATTGGAGGTGTTCTGTCTGGCAGCTGGGTCAGAGGGAGGCAGCGAGCCCACTGCCTGGCCCAGATTCTCTGCACACTCCTTCAGAATGGAGTGAGCTTTGTCCGTCGCTCTGCAGGGAGAGACAGTGGCACTGCTGTTGAAGTTGGTATGAGTTACTGAGAATATTTGTGGCACAACATATCTACTGGTAAAATTGTCCACAAAAGCAGTCAGTATTGCTGGCATTGGAAACTAAAATTTCTATCGGGTGAAAGTTTTTCCCTTACAAATTTTCAAAACTGATGACCCGGGGAATGCTACGACTTTAAGTGTATTTGACGCTGTAGTTATGGTATAGTACCTCTGGACTTGTATGATCATGTCCTCTCTCTGTTTCCTCTGTCTCTCCATAATGACACACAGTGTCTCTCTCGCCTGGTGAGGTCTAAACTCGTTGATCAGATGGTGCATGTTGATGAACAGGACACTCAGGTCCTTGATCTTCTGCTCTCTCTGCACGTCACATCGTTCAGAGCAAGACACCAGGATTAATCGATTGCTAAAAGTTAAGGGGCTGTACGAATGTATAGAATGCTCACAGCAGGTGATGCTGGGTTGTTGATGAGTATGTCCAGGAGCTCCAGGAAGCAGATGAGGATGGAGCGGTTCAGTTTCTTCAGCTCTGCTTTTCGATCTGCTCGGATCACCACACGTACAACAGGTCATGTGTAGCTGCTGATATGATACAGACCATAGTTATCAGGGTAGAGCCTCTCCAACCCCTGCTCCTCCACTGGACGGATCATGGCATCCTCTGTCTGGTGAGTCAGGGCAAATGGCGGTCAGGTTTGAGAGGGTTTTTCAACTCACGTCGAACGGGCAGCCGAACATGTAGTATTTTCCCTTCGCGGGAGGCGGCGGCTTGGGCGCTGCTCCAGAGCGCACGTTCTCGTCGGTGTAGAGCTTGTAGAGGGAGGCGGGAGGGTCGGGAAAAGACGCCACGACCCGTTCTTCAGCTGGAGCTTGTTGCTGGGCCATTTCAAGCAGGAGGCGTTAATTAGAAAAATCATCGACCTTTGACCTCACGTGCTCTAATTTAACCCTTTTAGAGTTCCAAGTGACAATGCCCAAGAAGAAGACAGGAGCGAGAAAGAAGGCAGAGAAGCAGAAACAGCGGCAGAAGGAGATAAAGGCCGCCTCAGAGTCTCGGAGTATCGTAATGGCGCCGTGTAACACTCTCATGGTGAGCCTCTACGATAATCTGTTTGCATAAATTGCTTTTTTCCTCGCACCAACTGCTTCGCCTTCAGGAGTGCGACAAGTGTAAGAGGTAGGGCTATCCCCGAGTGATGTAATTGTCGTACTTTATTTGATTTGTTTCCTAATAAGGAGACAGAAAACCAGGGCTTTCTGTTACTTCTGTCAGTCGGTGCAGAAACTTCCAATGTGTGCCCACTGCGGTAAGTGGGCTGACTGAACAAACCTCTGCGTCTGGTCGCTACTGGATGTATACTTGGGTCTTTTTGTATGACGTGTGTGTACAGGGAAGACAAAGTGTTTTGCCAAGACCGGAGACTGCGTCGTGAGGCATGGAGGTAACTTTGTCACTGGCATGGCAATGGTGGTACGTACGTATGTACGCACGCTATAAGCTTTCCTTATAATCTGTGTGTATGTCATGTGTGTGCGTGTGATAGGGTGCTATCTGTGATTTCTGCGAGGCGTGGGTGTGTCACGGAAAGCGATGCCTCAACACCCACGCGTGCACCTGTCCGCTGGGACCTGCGGTATGTGTGGAATGTGAGAGAGATGTGTGGAGCCACGGTGAGAGAAGAGAAGACAACCTCACAGAGACACTGACTCTGCTCTCTCTGTAGGTGGGCGGGTGTTCAAGTGCTCATTCTGCGACAACTTTCTCTGTGAAGACGATCAGTTTGAGCACCAAGCCAGCTGTCAGAAAATGGAGTCGGAAGATCTCAAATGTCAGCCCCTCCACCTCTTCTCCCCTCCTCCACACACACAACCCACTATTTAATAACCCCTCCAGGTGCCTCATGTAACAGACATGGTCAGCACACGTGTCTACGATGTAAGGTGTGTTTCTGTGACGACCACGTCAAGAGGAAGGGAGTCAAGTACGTGAAGGGAGAACCAATCGGATGTCCAAAGTGTGGCCACCCAACCAAAGAGACCAAGGAACTCTCCATGTCCAGTGAGCAGTGATTTACATCACCTTTTAAGCACAGTTGAACCCCTCTACCAATCATGTGTCCTTATTTCAGGGGTGTCTTTAAGAGGTGTTTCACTATTGTATTATTTCTCTCCATCTCTCCATCTCTCTCTCTCTTTCATCTTCACCAGCTAAAGCATACTCCTACGGTAAACTAGGAACGACAGCTGATTACGACAGTGATGAAGCAACCGGATATTCTAATGAGAGCACACCGTATTATTATGGGTACGGTGGAGAGGAGTCTCCTGCAATCAGTAGCTCTGGTGCCGAAGATGAAGAAGATAGTGAAACTGAAGATGCTCAACAAACGTTTGAAAACTGCACCATTAGCCATGATTCTCCTCAAGATTCATAATAGACAATCTCTTGTAAACTTTTTGTATTGCAGTGTTTAGTAGCACCCACAGGTCTACGCACGCCGCACGCTACAAAAGGCGGAGAAAAGGAGGTGGAGCTGATACGCACGTAACACGTATGCGCATGCGTGCATTGTAAACAATGGCGCGTGGTGGCGCTGAAGAAGGCAGTGGAGAAGTCCGCAAGAGAAAGCGGCGAAAGCGAGCCAAAGACGATGGCGACCAGGAGCGAGAGACCAGCGAACGACCGAGCGATTCTTCTCGCCCCCTTATCTCGACCGAGAAGAAGGAGAAACGTCGTGAAATCCCCGAGAAGCCGACCGAGATTCAGCCTGGTAGCTACTGGCTGACCCGAATCGTCTTCATCCGAGCCCTCGGCTTCGTCTACTGTAACTCGCTCCCTCACAGACGAGACAGGAGGTAACCTCTCTCTCTCTCTCTCTGCAGTCGCCGCGTTCCTGGTGGCTCTGAACCAGAACAAGGAACTGGTGGGGAAGAACGGTCTTCTACCAACTCCCAGCTTCCTCGCCAGGTGGAGGCAGCACCTGCAGGTATATACGTAATAGCTAATGTCCTGGTGCGACCAATGCCATAAAAAAAATATTAGCACTTCTTGGTTTTTACCTCAATGTTCCTTTCTTCAAAACTCATTGTTTTTCGTTGATGTTGACATAAGGTTTTGTTCTTATGTTACGTTGTCTTGACCACCGGTTGTTGTATTGCTGCAGATGCCGGACAATGTGAGCGTTACCATGGAGGCAGTCAAGGCGGTGCCGACCCTCATGTGGTGGGTACCAGAGGAAGACACCGACCTGGCCCTGGACGCCATGGCCTACACAGGACTGGCCATCTCTGGAGTTCTAGTCCTCTTTGGAGCAGGGAATGCAGTTATGTTCACAATCCTATGGGCTCTCTACCACTCTATCATCAACGTCGGTCAGACTTGGTAGGCAACACGTGTCTAACTACCATTCATCTCCTTCACTTCAATCCTCTAACTTACTCTGTTTATTCTTCTGTCTTGTATGCTAAGGTTCGTGTTCTAATCTTTCATCTATTTGCTCCCTGACTTTCGTTCTTTATCATTTATTCTCTTTTTCTTTTCTTGGTCATCGTGTTTCGCCTGCTGATGCTGAAGGTATCACTTCGGTAAGTCTCAACCAATCTCTACCACCCTCAACCAGTGACTAAACTCTGAGTCTTTCTCTCCACTCGCTAACCAACTGTAGGCTGGGAGTCTCAGTTACTGGAGACGGGGTTCCTGGCCATCTTCCTCTCTCCTGTCTTCTCCCTGCGCAGACTGCCTCAGAGCTCCCCGACCTCCTGGACAGTGGTGTGGGGATACAGGTGGCTGCTCTTCAGACTCATGCTGGGCGCCGTAAGTGACGACCAGCCTTGCTGGCAGCTGGGATGTAAAGCCTGGTTCACAGTCTGCATGCTCTGCATGATGTAAAATGATGTCGTCTCTTTCTATTCAGGGGCTGATCAAGATACGGCTGGATCCCTGCTGGAAAGACCTGACCTGCATGAACTACCACTACCAGGTGAATGTACATATCTACTTCATCACTTCTTTCATCTGTATCTCATCTTTCTTCCCATTTCTCGTTGTATCTCTCTCTCCCTGCTCCTTCTTTACCTATCCTATCTCTCTTTTCCCTCCTCTTTGTTTGTTGTCTGTTCTTTCTCCTCCTCCTTTACCTTCTCCTCCCCCAGACGCAGCCGGTACCCAACCCAATAAGCTACTATCTCCACCAGACCCCGGAGAGTGTTCACAAGATGGAGACGCTGGCAAACCACGCAGTTGAGCTGGTCGCTCCGTTCCTTCTCGTCCTCCCTCGACCAATCAGAACCTTCGGCGGTATCGTCCAGGTCCTCTTCCAGGTGTGGCTCTTATCCACGACTATAGCATGATGTCCTCTGGTGTCTTGTTTCAGGTGGTTCTGATAGTCAGTGGCAACTTGAGTTTCCTCAACTGGCTGACCCTCGTCCCAGCCGTCATGAGCTTCGACGACAAGACCCTCGGGTGTCTGTTCTCCGTGGCAACCAGACGCAGAGTCATTGACATCCAGTATGACTGGAAGACACGGAGGAAGCCAATCAGTGAGAGCTTGTCTGGTCTGTTCGAGGGTATACAGTATATGAATAATGCAACGGGGAATAAATTACAGATTTAACATGTGCAGATACAACTTCTATAAAAACTTTAAAAATTCAGAAACCTGTGAAATTCAAAACTGCACTTTCTACTGTCTTTGATGTGCAAGCACTGAACTTTACATGCCTACAGGATGGTACTTTAGCCAGTTGGTCTCGCTGGCCCTGGCTGGGCTGATTGGCTACCTCAGCATACCTGTGGTCCAGAACATGCTCTCCTCCAATCAGATCATGAACACCTCATTCAACAAGCTCAAAATCGTTAATTCTTACGGTCATTTTGGCAGGTCAGGGCATAAATTATTCTCTCTTTCTCTCAATTAAGACGTTAACAATCAGTTACTAGGGTGGCATAAACTTTTCGTACTTTTAGCGGGTATGTAAGGGGAAGTACAGACCAACCAACCACGCTGAATACCTTCACCATAACTAGAGATTGCAGTCCTATAGAGTGAATGTATAAAACTGCGATGGCCTAGGCTCAACTTCTCGTACTTATAGCGGGTCTAAATCCCTTGACTATAGCTGGAGTATATACAATGCAAATCACATTCAGATGTGATCTGACAGATGGAGTGCATGTATGAACTTGTCATCTCCACTGAGTAAGGTAAATCTCCCTGTACCGACAGTATCACGAGGGAGAGAACAGAGATTGTTCTAGAAGGAACCTTCAACAGCTCCTGGGGGGAAGACGCTGGCTGGCTGGAGGTGGAGTTCAAATGCAAACCGGGGGCCATCGGACGTCGTCCTTGCTTCATCTCCCCCTACCACTACCGCTTGGACTGGCTCATGTGGTTCGCTGCCTTTCAGGTCAACCACCTGTAGTGTACATACATACATACCTACTAGTCTTGAGAAATGCTCTCTGTCGTGCTGGAGTCCAAGAACTGTACTATGTATGTGTGCATTAGAGGTGTACCAAACCCAAGCCAAAAGGACAAGTCGCACGTCTCACAATCTACAGACAATACTAGAGAGCAGTTACCTGCAACTGTGGTAATGGAGCTCATTCTGCAAATTTATGGCGCAATTTTTCAGGATTACAACCGTAACCCGTGGATGCTGAACCTGGCATCAAAGATACTGGCTGGAGACCCGACAGTGGACTCTCTTCTGGCTTACAACCCTTTTTCTGACAAACCCCCCACGTAAGCAGACACGTCCATTCTCAGCTATATTTCCTCTCACTCTCTCTCCTCTTCATGTATGGTTACTGGTTTATCGTCAAGTATATAGGTGCAAACTAACTAATTTTCTGTTATGGCTTGGTGGTGGTGCAAAACATGGGAGATTTTTGGGGGTCCAAAGGTGCCTTGGTCAATAATGTGGCAGTAAAAGAGCATTCTCAAGCAGCAATACAATGATGCATTTGCTCTTGAAAAAATAGGATAAAACGTGGCCAAGTGATGATTTGATCTGTATGACAGGTACATCAGGGCTCGCCACTATCTGTACCGGTACACTGAGTGGGACAGTGTGGAGGCTCTCAGAGGTAACTGGTGGAAGAGGGACCTGTTAGATGAGCTCTATTTCCCTGTGGTCGCCGAGGAACATCTGAGGCCGTTCGTTGAGGACCTCGGCTTCCACTGGTACACTCGTGGTGAAGACCGATCCACTGACTGAAACTGGCGTCATTTTCACTTTCAGTCCGTGCTAATAAACAAATGTATGGTGCAATACTAGAGCTGTACATACCAATAGTAGCGGAGCCTGCGCGATTTTGTGGCAATTGAACTTAACAAGTGCATCGCGTGAGCACATAGCAAAAAACCATCTTACGCGGTTTGTGCAAGTGACCTAAAATTCAGGTATGATTTGTGTGAAATTGTATAGTGGTTTGAGGACCAAAATTTGAGAGAAAAAACCAGCAGAGATATGGGGAAAAACAGCACACTATTTTGAAAAGAACGTTTGCAAGTGATACAGTCAAATTTATTCCGAGGAGCCATCCAAGTGTTCTCCCTCTCTGCCGTCAACCTCACTCCCGTGTGGGTGAGCTTCCCTGGACCACAGCAGTAGGTGCGTTGATGAAGGAACGGGGCGAGGCCGAGTGAGAAAGTGAGTGCAGCAGGGACACTGCGTCAGGCTGTGCGGGAGAAGAAACCCGTCTGGATGATTGGTTGCTCCGGCGACGACCCCCTTGTACCCGACGCCAAAGCTCAGGAGGACTGAGTGTTGTTCGGAGCCGGTGGGTGTGGCCGGAATGCTGGAGAGAGGTGGAGGTGAGAAGATGCTGTCAATGGAGGAAGAACTGGGCGTGGTGGACATTTTACCTCTGAGGGAATAGGTTGAATCGAAGGAGGAGATCATTCGAGTGAAAGCTTCGGACATGGGCATCATTTGGAGACTTCGCACAGAACCCTCGTACGCATCGAGACGGGAAACCACCTCGAGAGTGTCCGTCTTGACGAGCAGGATTTTCCCCACTTTGTTTCCGACGTAGAGGACTCCGTCGTCCCCGGCAACGAGAGAGGTGACCTGTGCTTGTTTCAGCTGACTTTCGATGGGTGTGGCATGGCGTTCGCTCCAAATCGCAGCGTGGCAGTCCACACTCCCCACCCTTTGCCTACTCCTCACCTCGTATTTCAACAACATGTGCCAATCTGCGAGAAAAACGCAGTACTTTTCCCCCACGACTGTCGTCACCATGTGTCGTATCTTCTTGTTCTGATTTGACGGTATTTCCACTTCGACTCTTATCGAGAGGTCTGTTGGGTAGAGCACCTGGACCCACTCTCCTTTCTGGGCACATGCCCAAACCTCGGGCGAGGCGACGTCACTCATACGAGGGATGTAGACACCCACGGTGTTCTGTGCCTCAGAGCAGGGGCGATGAAGGAGAGGGTCCAAGATGGTGACTGTCTGTGAGTTGTCAGATAATTCAGCTGTGAAGAGGTACATCCCGCTCCTAGTCAGGGCTAGAACCGCGGACTCTATTTGGATGAGTTGGTAGACCTTTTCTTCCTCCGTCTCTCCCCACATCGCGAGGAGCTGGTGAGACACCGAGTCGTACACCCACAATCCTTCCCCAATGGTGGCCACCCACATATTGCCGCTCACTATCACAATTGACGAGATGTACTTAGTTGAGTTGTGTGTAACAGCCTGCAATCGAGAGAGAATGAGGTTTCAAATGGCACTAGGAATTGTGAAATGTTCATACCTTGACAAAGGTGCCCTGTGGAATGGTATCGGACCATGTTCAGTTTGCCTTTGATGGTTCCGTACCAAACCTCTATCCCGGTCCCCATTCCGATCCCACAGGCCCGAGCTGGGATGATGGAAGACAGTCTCAAGCAGCTCTGCCCCTGGCCCATTCCACCTGAAACCGAGGAGGGAGGCGAGAAAGTGCTGGAGTGTCTCCGGTGAGGGATGGCGATGGTCTTAACAGCCGCTGCGTGTACCTCTCCCACGTCCCCTAAAGGCAGTCCTCCCACCAGACTGTAGATGGTCTCTCCGCGGAGGACTGAGAGGATCTGCTCGAAGGAGGGGCGGTGTCTAGGCCTGTCGCTCCAGCACCAGGCCATCAGCTCCACCATCTGAACTGAGTTGGGCCAGTGCTAGATTTGGCGGAAGAAAAAACAACCACCATGTCACCCTTGACGACAGTTCGTGCATGTAAATACATCAGCATGTGCGTCGGCTACGTGGACCCTAATTGCAATAAATGCAGAAGAATTCAAAGTATCCACCGCATCCATGTCGAAGTTAATTCGAAAAGACTCCTAATCTACTTCGGAACGTGTGTGGGCGATTTGGAAGGCATGCAGACCTGCATGCTCACCTACCTTTGTTTGTAGCTCTGGTCTACGGCTGTGTCGGAGCTGGGAGCCAACCAACAGGCTGCTGCCAAAGGGATTCCCGAAGGAGAAGAGGTAGTACATGACCATCCCATACGAGTACACGTCGACTTTCAGCGAGGCGGCCTCGTGCTCCGAATTGAGGAGGACCTCGGGCGGAAGGTACTGCGGCGTGCCGGCCTTGCTGTGGATGCCCTGGGGCGAAATCTGCTTGCTGATCCCGTAGTCGGCCACTTTCACGAGAATTTGTGAGTCGGGGTTCCACTGCTCTCGAGGCAGGGGGAAATCCCAAACGAGGACGTTGCCGGGTTTCAGGTCACGAAAGAGAATGTTTCTGGAGTGAAGATAGGCCATTGCATCTGCTATCTGTGGACAGATAACGATGACAAGTATTGGAAGGTCTCTTGGGGGGAAAGAAAAAGAAGGAAAATTTCAATCTACTGAACTTCTAAAAATGTGTGAGTGGGTTCTCTATCGGGGGTGCAGCTGCTCACCTGCATCAGAGTTGCTCTGAGTGTTCGTCTACTGAACCTCTTGTTCTTCTTCTGGTAGCGGACGACTGTTGATGCCAGGTCTTCCCTGGCGAGCTCCAACACCAGTCGAATGGGGTGGAGGGTTATACCCATCAGTGTCAGAATGTGGGGGTGGTTCAGCTGGTACATCATGCGGGCCTCCACGCTTGCCTCGTGGTAGACGGCCCAGCTGCGGTTCTCTGGCTCCAGCTCTGGGGTCTGGAGATCAGTGGGGTTCCTGCTCGGCGCCAGCTCCTTCACTGCCACCTTCATTTGCTCAGTCTGCATGTGAGCAGGGTCTATAGTACACGTTGTATTTAGGTGTGCATGAGGGAAATGTTTGCAGAAGGGAACTTGTGGGAATTGGACAAACAACGCTTTTCATTTCTACGTTTCCTACTGAAACAAGTATTGTTGTATGTACATGTACCCACAGTAGCTGAACTAACCCCTATGGTCAGGAGACCCTGGTATACTTTTGCAAACCCGCCTTCTCCCAGCCTCTCCAGTAGCTTCACGTCTTTGTTTGGGATCAGCGCGGCTGGGGCAAAGTCAGCAAACACCTGCAGTAGGGAAAACGACGGGACAAGTGGAGATGAACGCAATAAAGACTGTCACTACCCACCAGGTCAGGAGCAACTTGAGCTACTTGGAGGACTCCATGATCAGGGCACGCGATCCTTCCCTCACTATTCAGTGAGCAGTAAGGAAGAGTAAACATGTATAACTTCCTGCCAGCCTCAGATCGAGTGCCATTTTCTGACGAGGCATCCTTTCTCGGGTCATGGCAAGCCATGAAGCAGCACGGGCAAGGGCTCGTCATGCAGCTGAGAAGGTTGTTCAGGTTTCGTCTGAAACCAAAAACCTCGTACCAATCCTCCATCACGATCTCTGCCAGGTCGGTCACCTTCTGAAGGATCCAGGTCGCCATGCAACGACTCTTGTTACAGCTGCAACTGTCACTGTCGTGGGGTTGGTCCGGGGGGAGAATTGGGCAACAGAGGGTCTGATCCTCCGGAAGAACTGCCACCATGATCTCCATTCCTTGCAGCGTCTCCCTCTCCTCGGGCAGGGGAAGACTGGAGATAATGGCGGCACCGTTGGAATGAGGGAGGGGCCAGCTGAGGGGGGCGATGCGGAGGATCTCCATGTGGTTCCACACGAGAGACATGCCAGTTCGCCAGGCCTCCCAGTGGACTTGGTTCAGGAGGTGGGCACTATCTAGAGGTCCTGCCATGAGCGATGCCTGGATCTGTGTCGCCAGCTCAGAGTTCATGACCTGTGCGATGAGTCGGGGGAAGAACCCATTGGGAGTGAAGGGGAGACAGAGGTAACGGATTAGGATGTCGGGCTGGGAAGATATCGGGGCAGGGGGTCCAACGCGGAGCTCTGTTAGACCCCGGCCGGTGTCGTTACTGACGTGTGGAGCACTCTGAGGCATAATGATGAAGGGGTTCGCCTCGTCCTGGGGGAGGAGGGAGGGGATGAGGTGGCGCTCTTCGTCCAGTTTGAACATGACTTCGAATTTCCTCATGACGGAGATGATTTCGTCGATTCTGGAACTGGTTCCACGCAGAATGTGGTTCAGGTTTTGGTAACTGATGATACCTTTTGAGGAGAGGTTTTGAAAGTGAAAACAGCTATAGTTTACTGTATCATTTAGGTGTGGGTTAGTTTTCGCAACATGCGCATAAAGGTCACCGTTTACTCACCGTCTTTGACGTGTGGATTTCTCTCCCTTATGGTGATGACGTTGGCAAGAGTGGAGCAGAGCCACTGAGGGTCGACAAAGTAGAGGTCACTCAACTGGCTGTCTGTGTAGTGAATAAGGATCCCGTTGCTGTGCAGGAAGCTGGTAGCCTGGTCCAGCTCATCATTAGACGCATGGATTTCTCCCGACTCTCGCACTTTGGCCCTTGAGGAAAAATTTAGAGAGAGAGAGAGAGGAAAGCAAGCGTAACACATCATGTGACAGTCACATGATCCACCAGAGAGCTCACAGGTATTCCTGTCTCGAAAGGATTGGGGCTCTGTTCTGCTGGGAGTAGGAAAGGCGAGTCTCCTGACTATGTCCTGTAGCTTCACAAACGTCTCCGGAACTTTCTGCTCCAGCAGTGGTTCAAGATCAGGAGGTCGAATCACGTTCAGGTTTGTTGGAGCTGAAGAAAAGAGTTGCAGTTTACACGCGCAGACAGACACACCCCGTAGAGTTCTTACAGGGAGGGCAGTACTGCACCGCGATGTTGTAGATGTAGTTCCTGAGCTGCTCCATTTGTTTGCCGTCCTTGCAGTTCACCACGTGCATCACCGAGCATATGCGGGGGAACGCAAACTTGTTTGGTCCGCGCGAATAGAGCTCGCGCAGTTTGCCCTGGAGGCTGGCAACATGGGCCTTGTAATTTGCCTGCGGCAAGCTGTCGCCATGAGTAGCCACCACGATAACTGGGGAATCTCTAGCTCGAACCTGTTGTGAAAACAAGTGAGATTGATTGTTAAACAAAGTGAGGTTACAAACCTCGATATTCTCAAGCCAAAAGCGAAGGCTGAGCAGGCCGGTCTCGCCGTCCGTGGCATTCCAGACTAACAGGAACAGCGACCGGTTTGTCAAGAAACACTGATGAGTTGCGTAATACTCTTCCTGTGGGGGAAAGATACGTAACAAACACAGAATAGTTGTTCCAGAATTGAGGTCGGCATATTCCACAGTTTCACATGGTTCGAGAGGCATTGTTTGCAAATCCTCTGGGACAGACACTTTACTAAACCAATTCTTTGCATAAGGGCATGGTTTACTTAAACACAATCCTTTTAGAATCTCCCTACTCAAACAGAAACACATATCTCTCTTTGCACCCTCCCCGTTTGTGCTGTTTTTTGTTGTTTTTTTTTTTTTTTGTTGTTGGTAAGGAGAGACGTGTGTCTGTTGAGGAGGGAGGATACATAAGGGATTTTGTTAAAGTAAAACCTGCCCCGTTATGCCAAATGGACACTGGTTTTAGTCATCGCAGGTTGTCTGTCCCAGAGGATTTGCAAACAATGCATCTCGCACCATGGTGAAACTTGTGGAAGGAATACGCTGACTCAAATTGCTTGTGTTTGTGGCGTATCTTCCCCCACAGAAAGTGGTAGTACGCAACAACATTCCATTCGAGGGTTTATTGACAAAAACCGGGCGCTGTTTCCTGTAGTCTGGAATTGCCACGGACGGCCGAAATAGGACCCGCGTTGCGCCGCTGCTCAGCCACTTCGCTGGGCTCTTGAGGTAATTCATCGAGTTTGTAAACCTCACTTTGTTTAAAAAAATCAATGCTCACTTTGTTTCACAAACAGGTTCGGAGGTGGCAGCTTAGAGATTCCCCAGTAGTCGTGTGTGGCTACTTGATGGCGACCACCGGCTAGCTTGCTCAGGGCAAATTTACTAAGGGCCATGTTGCCATCAATCCCAGGGACAAAACCTGCGCGAGGGCTCCTCCATTCTCTGCTCGCCTTCTTGGCTCAGCTCTTCCGGCTCTTCTTCCTCCTCCTCTCTCCCTTTTCCTTCTGAGTTGAGCCTCTCTACTCTTCTTCTCACTTTGTCGCTGCTGGCTTCTCTCTCCGTTTGAGCTCTGGCTGCCTTCCACTCCCTCTTCCTGCTTTCCTTTAGCTCTCTCTATTCGCGGCGGAGCGCCATACTCCCAACCAAACATACGCTTTGCGTTCCACGCATACGCGATATGCTCGTGGGTTTGTGATGCACGTGGTGTTGGTGAACTGCAGGCGTTTCGAAGGCGGCAAAACACAATGGAGCCATGCTCCAGGCTAACGACATCGTACGAACACTCGCGGAGTTCTCTTTTGCAGAGTTTGGTTTTGGCAGTTAATGCCATCCTTGTCAAGAAATCTACGGGGAGGTGGTCTGGTCTCCTCGGCTGCGCGTTGTTTGTTAATATTAAAACTGTACAAAACCTCTTTCTCAGCTCCGAATCAACCCTCTGAACGTGATTCTGATTCAACCCCTTCCTGATCGCTTGGTGTTGAACCAGCTCGCTGGAGCGCACACGGAAAGCTTTCCGGAGACGTTTTGTGTGACAAGCTACAGGACATAGTAAGGGAATCCGGCGCCATTCCTACCTTCCCAGCCAAAGAACCAGGGAGCCCCACCAATCCTTTCGCAGACACGGAGACTTCACCTGCTTGAAGCTCTCTGGTGGTCAGCAGCGACTGGGTCAGCCATGATGTGTACGCTTGCTTTCCTCTCTCTTCTCTCTTCTCAATTTTTCCGGTCAGACAAGGTCACCAAAGGCGAGGAAGGGGTAGAGGAGAAGAGAAGGCACGCAGAAATCCATGCGTTATTGGGCGGAAAATGATGTGATGTCTGGACCAGTGCTACCACTTCCATGCACAGCAAACGGGATTCCTATTCAACTACACAGACAGCCATGTTTGAGTGACCTATACTTGCGGACCCTCAGTGGCCTGCTCCACTCTTGCAACGGCATATCATCGCATCCATAGGGGACCGAAGAATCCACACGTCAAAACGGTGAGGTAGTGTCGGTAATACGTTTGACCACTTTTTCCGCATGTTGCGCGAAAGAAACAACTAAGAACCCACACCTATATATTGATACAAGTAAATATGGGTGGTGTTTTCACGTTTTACAAAACCTTCTCCTTGTCAAAAGGATTATCATCAGTTACAAAACCTGAACCACCATCTGCGCGGAAACCAGTCAAGAATCGACCGAAATCATATCTCCGTCATGTAGGGGAAATTCCGAGAAAACTAGAAGTGTCCATGTCAAAACTGGACACGAAGAGCGCCCCACCCATCCACTCCCTCTTCCCCCTAGGGACGACGCGAAACCCTCATCACTCTTTATGCGCATCAGAGTTGCTCCACACGTCGTAGAACGGACACCGGGTCGGTGGTCTCTAACAAAATCCGCAGATTGGACCCTGCCCCGATATTTCCACCGACATACAAATCCGTTTACCGCTGTCTCCCCTTCCACGCTCCATGTTCGGTTTTCTTCACCCGCTATAGCACAAGGTCTGAGTAGTCTGAGCCTGGAGACACATGATAACCAGGCATCGCTCATGGCAGGAGCCTCTATGATATGCCCACCTCCTGATACCAATCCATGGGAGGGGGGCCTGGCGGAACTGGCTGTCTCGCGTGTGGAATACACATTGGGATCCTCCGCATCGCACCCCCTCACTGGCCCCTCCATCATCCGAGCTGCGTTTAGGGTTGCCGCCATTATCTCCAGTCTTCCCCGGCGAGGAGAGGGAGAGGAAGAGGGAGACGCTGGCCAGGAATTAGGAGATCATGGGGTGGCTGTCCGGCTAGTTCTCCGGGACAGGGGAATCAGGGACATTCTGTTGCCCAATTCTCCCACCCGGAACTCAACCCCCACGACAGTTACACCAGTTGTTGCAGCTTTTGTAACCAAGAGTTCTCGTGGCATGGCGGACCCCTGGATCCTTCAGAGAGGTGACCGACCTGCCAGAGATCGTGTGAGGAGGTGGTACGAGGTTTTGGTTTCAGACGAAACTGAAACAACCTTCTCCGCTGCATGACGAGCCCGTCCCGTGATGGCTTCATGGCTTTTGAGCCATGAACCCCGACGAAGACACAAGGATTCTATGCCCGACGTCAGAAGAAACATGGACTCGATCTGAGGCTGGCAAGGACAGGAAGGTGCTTTTAGGGAAGTTATCACATGTTTTACTGTCCTTACTGCCATGAATAGGAGGGAAGGAGTCGCGTTGCCGCTCCCTGATCATGGGAGTCCTCTCCCAAGTTAGCTCTCAAGTTGCTCCTGACCCTGGTGGGGTTAGACTAGTGACAGCTTTATGCGTTCATCTCCACTTTGTTCCCGTCGTTTTCCCTAAGCAGGTGTTTGCGGACTTTTGCCCAGCCGCGTGATCCCAAACAAAGACGTGAAGCTACTGGAGAGGCGGGAGAAGCGCCGGTGGGTTTGCAAAAAGATACCAGGTCCTCTGACAATAGGGGTTAGTTCAAGCTACTGTGGGGTTTACATTGTACCATACAGTGACCAAATCTGTTTCTCCGTAGGAACACGTAGATATAATAGATCTGAAAAAAGCGTGTGCGCTCGTCCAATTTCCACAGGTTCCCTTCTGCATATATGTAAATTCACACCTTCTTATTGCACACCTAAATATACAACGTGTAATGTAGATCCCATGTGCTCACATGCAGAATGAGCAAATGAATGTCTTTGGTGGGCAGTTGTAAGGCGCGCTGGCGCCCGGCAGTAACCCACCTGATCTCCAGACCCCAGAGCTGGGGAGCAGGAACGCAGCTTGGGCAAGTATACCACGAGGCAAGTCGTGGAGGCCCGCATGATTGTACCAGCGTCTGAACCACCCCCACATTCTTGACGCTGATTGAGTATACCCTCACCACCTTTCGGACTGGTGGTGGAGCTCGCCAGGGAAGAACTGGCCATCAACAAAGTCGTGACGCTACCAGAAGGAAGAACAAGATGGTCAGTAGACGAACACCTAAGCAACTGCTGATGCAGGTGAGCAGCTGCACCCCCAATATAGAGAATAGAGAACCCACTCAACAAATTTTAGAAGTTCATTATAGATTTGAACATTCCTTTCTTGTCTTTCCCACAAGAGGACCTTCAATACCTTGTACTCATTATCTGTCACCGATAGCAGATTGCAATGGCAATCTTCACTCCAGAAACATTCTCTGTCGTGACTGAAACCTGCAACCCTGGGGCAAAACGTCTCGTTGGGAGTTCCCATGCCTCGAGAGCAGTGGGAACCCCGACCGACTAGTGTCAAATTCTGTGAACGTGGCCGACCTGACGGATTTCAGCAAGCAGGATTTCCCCCAGGGCCTATCCACAGCAAGGCCGGCACCGCCGCAGTAACTTCCACCACGAGGTCCTCCTCAATTCGGGAGCACGAGGGGCCCGCCTCGCTGAAAGCCCCGTTTGGACTCGTATGGGAATGGTAATGGTACTACCTCTTCTCCTTCGGGCGATCCCTTTTGCAGCAGCTGGCCTGTTGAGATTGCTGCACAGCTCCGACACAGCAGTATCGAACAAGAGGTACAAACAAAGGTAGGTGAGCATGAAGGTCGCATGCCTTCCAAATCGCCCAACCACACACGTTCCCCGCGAAGTAAGATAGAGATCTTTTCGAGAAATTTAACTTCGACATGGATTGCGGTGGGATACTGGAATTCTTCTGCATTATTGCAACTTAGGGTCCACGTAGCCGAACGCACTAGCTGATGTATTTTTACCATGAACTCCCGTGCACGCAATCTGTCGTCAAGCGCGGCGCCTGGACATGGATGGTTGTTTTTTTCTATCCGCCAAACTCTAGCAACTGAGCCGCCAACTCAGTTTCACGTGGTGGAGCTGATGGCCTGGTGTGAGACGACATGGCCTAGACCACCGCCCCCGACTTCGGAGAAGATCTGAGTCTAAGTTCCTACGCGAACAGGAGACATCTACCAGTCCTGGTGGGAGGCGGGAATTGCCTTTAGGGGACGTGGGAGGAGTACACGCAGCGGCTGTTACAAGACCTCGCCATCCCTCACCGGGAGGCACTCCAGCACTTTCTCGCCTCCCTCCTCGGAGTTTTCAGGTGGAATGGGACAGGGGCGGCC